TCACGAAGCGACCTTTGAAATCTGCAGTCTAGTATATGCATATAATTATAAGAAATGTGCACTTGGCGGGCGAAGGAAATGCGAATAACTATGTTAAGATTGCACTAAACCGTTACATTCGCGACCTTGTTGATAATGTGGCCCTAAAGCTATTTTCTATATATGGATTACTTGACTTTGAGCTGCAGTTCTGGCCCTGAAGATGTTCATATGTCATCAAGACGTGTTTACCCATTGAAATGGGCAAAAAGGGGCATATTGGTTTTCTTCAAATGTGTCTAATCTACCCAATAAAGTGTATGAGCAAGTCAAGACGAGTACCCTCTTTTTCGAAGTTTATCTCCGAGTTTGACCGCAAATGGATTGTGTGTTTTAGTCTAATACACCTTGTGCTTTAGTAAATACACATATTTGGAGGCCATCTTGAAACCCTAAAAGTTTCGTATAGATCGGACTACAAGCACCGAAGTTATTCAAGAATTCAGTTTCCATATTGTGGGGCTAAGGGGAGAAGAAGCACGTGCTTTCTTGTGTAGGTGTGCATACAAGTATGCTCGAATGTGTGTAACTTTAGGGTATCTACTAGTTGGGCAAACAATTTGAACCTGATTTTTGTCACTGCCTCGCTGTTAGTTTTAATCTCAAACTTCCGTTTTGTGGGATTCGCATTGGCCATTACGATACGATGCGTTAGACAGCTGCTGAAGTCGAAGGCAATCGAATCATCATCATCGTCATTGTCATTATCATCGTCATCGTCATTGTCATCGTCATCATTCGGTATGCCTGCATTTCATAAATTGCATTAACGTTGCAGTTGCAGTGCATTGAACTCTTGCCGCGGCCCGGAAACCAAACCAGCAAATTCCCCCAGCAGCAGCGGCTTTCCACCCAAGACCCCACTAGACAACCTGCCTAGCCCAGGTGTCCGGCCATGGGGAGGTGTTTGCCAGCATTTGGCAATTTAGTTCAGACTAATATGCACACGTTTAGTATATCGTGTGCATATATCATGTATATATAAACATATATTGTTGCCATAATTATATAATTGAGTATGTGGATCTGTTGCTGAGTCACAGTCGCAGTCAAGTCTGGCTGCCTATTTGTGTGGAATGCAATGCCATTCGATCTGTTCTGTTAGGCATTTCAATATTTAGTTTTCAATTGTCGAACTAAAAATGGGCTGTTATACCTAATGCTGCATATGCAAGGCACGTCACGAATTTTGTGTGTTCTCTCTCACAAGAACCTCTTGACAGTTAAAATACATCTATGTATATACGTATTAGCTTATATATATGCATAATTGATACTGCCTTTTGTCTCGCAAAAGCTTTTCTCACTAACTAAACCTTTACATACCTCTCTGAACGCAAAGCATGTGCTTTGCATCTGAGAGAGCTTCAATGTAAAGGAATTACTTGCATTTCGCATATATAGAAGCAATTTGGGATTCTAAAAGATGCTAAATTATAGAAAATTCCTGCAAAACTTAATCTAGTTTAGAAGTTAAAATTGACAAGAATTTTAAACTTATTCAGTTGCAAAATTCTTTGTAAGTTTTTTCTTGTAATTTTTTTTTTACATATTTGTTTAAAATTTGTACAAAATCAAACTTTTTCTATCAAATACTGTATTGTAGGCAGTGTTGATACCCTTGAATCCTTTAAAAGGGGCATACTTAGGTTTTGCAAATGTATGTAACAGTTAGAATGAAGCATCTCTGAACCCCAAATAGTTTATGTATTAGCCAAGTCGATTGAGCCACGTCCGTCCGTCCGTCTGTGTGTATATATGAACGCGTCGATATCGGAGAGAATTTTGCTTGTTATACCCTGAACCCATTAAAAATGGGAAAAAAGGGTATTATGTATTTGTGCAAATGTATGTAACAGGCAGAAGGAAGCATCTGCGATCCCATAAAGTATATATATTCTTGATCAGCATCCATAGCCATGTCCGTCTGTCCGTATATATGAACGCAAGGATTTCAGAACCTATAAGAGCTAGAGACTTGAAATTTTAACCGTAGGTCCTCCTAGCTCATGCGATTTCGATAACTTACTCCGTTATCAGATGTTGCTTCTAGAAGTATATATATATCACTTACTTATTTAGCATTTATGAATGTACCCCAATGATGAAGCTGAGTGGAGGGGGTGTGTGGGGTATGTGGAAGACTATTCAGAGCGCATTCATAACAAAGTAGCCTCGAAACAATGATTCATGCCAATTCATTTCATTATTTCATTTCGTTGATGCTCTCTGACCGCAGAAAAAGCAAATTGAAAACCCAAAAAATCACCGACCATAAACGAGACCCGAGAACCACGCGCTGGCGGTGGCGGTGCTGGCTCTGGATCTGGATCTGGATCTGATTCTAATGGTGGTGGTGGTTAAATATGTCCGCATAGCCGTTTGATTAGACGGGCAGACCTATGGCCATGCTGGGCGGGGACGTGGCACATAGGGAATAGCATAAGGATAACGCAAGGGTAGGTGCAGCGCCGATAACAGACCGACCCGTTGCCAGTTTTCAGTTTTCCGGTTCCCAATTCCCAGTACCATGCTCCCTGTCGCGTGTCAAATAACTTTGCAGCTGGGGGTTGGACACAGCGCAGGATGCGGACGGATATAAAGGAATACAGTTGCATATACATATATATATATATGAATGCCTGCCTGTATGTACATATACGGGGTGAACATGGACTGATTCATTACATTTTTCGTGGCATTTTGTTATTGTCCTGTGCCGAGCTGTTGCTGTTGCTGCTGCTGCTGCGTTTGATATTTGTCTTTGGCTGGCAAACACACAAAATGCGTCTCGACCAGGCTGCGAGCCGTGTGCTCTATTTACATTTGGGCCGGAGGTCCAGCAGCTGTTTGGACTTAGGGGCTTACCAGACACCGTACCCTTCCCCCGCCCGACTGGACTACTGTGCTCGGCAGTTCCTGTTTGATAAACAGCTTTTAAATTAATTGCTCGAATGTCAATGATGTTGCCTGATGATGTGTGTGATGTGGCTGAGAATCTGCTGGTCAATAATTCTCTCTCTGTGTGTGTGTGTGTGTGTGTGTGTGTGTGTTGAGGCTATATTGAAGCGCAAATCTCCTCCTACCCCAAAGCGCCCATTAAATGCTCAGTGTGCTGACTTAATTTACAAAATTTATTGGCATTTAATGCGCTCGAATGCGGGCGAGTTGGGAAACTATTTACTTATTTTATTTCTTTTATTTTTAATTAGGCACGTTCTAAAGATTCATTTAACGGTCGCACATTTGCCGCTGCAGTTGCAGCGCTGAGCAATCGAATTAGTCATACGCAGCGTATGCGCAATGCTGACACCGCGCCTCCTGCCCCCCTTTTGCCCACAGCAATGGCAGTGCCACAAGAGGCAGCCTGATGAGGCAGCTGCCAGGTCAACTGAAGCAGCTGCATGGGGAAAACAGCTACTCGCCTAAGCTGCCTAATGAAGCGCAGCTGTGGAAAATCAGCGAGAGACTCGCAGAGCGAGGGTGAGATAGAGATACACCGAGTAGAAGAGGGGAAAGTGCATGTTTCACTAAGCTGCTTCAAGTGACACCATAGACGTTGTGGGTTGGAAAGGGGTTGGATGGGGAAGCGGGTGTGGTGTCAATTACGACATATTGCAGTTGAAGGGCCAAGGCCGAACAGCAGGACCCATAAAATGCAGTGAGAGGCCATTGGAAACGCGCCAAGAACATCAAGTAAAATCCAGTATACTTGAAAATCAGACAACAAATTTAAGAAACCCAAATAATTGCATCTACGCTAAATATACATATGTTGTATTGCTTTGGCCAAATAATTGGATCAAACGTATACAAATACATAGAACTTTTGACTTCGAGAAGAAAATATTTTTGTATTTTAGTTGCGTGCTTTTCACAAGCTGCGTAACTAGAGAGCATATTTCTTTTTCAACTGTGCGAAAGTTAAGTGCTTATCCTGCGTTGCTTGGCGCTAATAATTCGCAAAGGGTTCCATTCAAAGTTGATATCAATATTTGTCAGAATGTCAGAACTGGAAGGCTGTTTAATTGACTAGAGGCAAGAATGTTGACTGAAGTTTATTTATTATAACAAACATATAACATATGAGCTAGAGCCAGCCAAGGCTTATTATATTAACCAATTCACGTAAAATATTTGATGTACAACAATCCATAAGATTTGCAAATTTCATATGAATGTTCAGAAATGCATACTTAGTAAACAAGCAATAACTTTGTATATATATGAACTTTCTATAGGGCATTTCTTAGTCAAGCGAGCTTTATAATGCGGTACATCCTTATCCACACAGTTGCCATATGTTACATGATTGTTGTGAGTATAGGTAACAGCAGGATATATATGTGCATATAGTATTGCCACCCATGACGACAGTGGAGTGGCCTTAATTAAATAATTAGCATAAATTATTAATTAAAATGCGCTCGTCGAAGCGTTCAAAGTTACCCAGACAGACAGACAGACAGACAGACAGTCAGCAGTCAGTCGGGCAGAAATCCCTTTTGGCATATAAGGGTGCCGGATGCACTGCTGTAGGGTAGGGTTGCCAGTAGGGTTGCCACCCTGACCCAGACGATCGCCTGCAACCACCGCCAGTCAGGGATCGGGGAAGAAAGTGTCAGCTGGCGTGTGCGCCCTCAAACTACCCCCATTAGGGTGTCTCATTAATCAAACGAGGTACGATCTGAAGCCTGGCTGCATTTTTTTATAAATTGCACGCAGTTTTCCTAAAAGAAATACAAATTTGAACAATTCACTTGAATCGTTACATTTTTTCTCTTCTCGTTTTATGACAACAAATTTCAACATTTTATCCATTTACTAGAGCTTATCTTGTGTTTTGAGTTGAAAATCCTACGGATACGATACTTTAAATAATTAACACTGCATAAAAGCTCCAAAGTTTTTGTTTATTTTGATCCAGCTGTTTAAATTTATACAAATTTCCAAAACAACTTAAATTTGATTTGCTTTAAAGTTAAAAAGAAAATGTTTTATGACTTAAAACTAGCTCAACACAATTCTCAAGTTTAAGAATTTCGAGCTTCTTTGCATATATCTAAAAAAAAAAAAAAAATGTTACTATATTATTTTTAGTTTTAACCTTTTTTTTTCATTATTTCTTTGGTATTTGCTGTAAGAGTTTTCGTATTAAATCTCCACCACATAGCGACTGCTGCTGGACGGACTTATGGAATAGTAGCTATTCTCTGCAAGAAATGTACACAAATTAGAAAAGTTCTGTGGGCGGTGCTTTGGGGGCGGGGGGCGTTACGCACCTTCATCGCTGTCAAAGCTATAAAAGTTGTCATCGTCGCGCGTCAGGGAGCGTCGGCTGCGTCGCGCCTGCGCACGCTGCTGCTGCTGCAGTAACTGTGACTGCGACTGCGACTGCGGCGTGAAAGCATGCAGCGAGCTGCTGGTGTTCAATGCGGTGGCCATTGTGGGCGTTGAGCTGCGCCGCCGGCTGTTGCTCAGGGGATAGGCCAGCGGTGAGCCGTATTCGCTGCGGCTGCAGTTCGAGTTCTGGCGATCCAAGCTCAGCTGCAGCTGTGCCTCATCGCGGGATGAGTCATGGCCGCTTTTATTGTTATTGTTATTATTGTTGTTGTTGTTGTTGCTGATCGCTTGCGTGGTCACAATATCGGGTATGGCATTACGTTTAACATTTGCCGGCGTTGGTGTTGGCGGCAGCTGCTGCTGCTCCTCCTCCTTTTCCTTTTCCGTGTTCTTGTCCGGCTCCTGGTCGGGCTCATCGTCCGCATCGCTGCATATGGTCAGCTCCTCGCTGTGCAGTCGACGCGGACAAAGACGTGGCCTGCCCTCAAAGCGCGAGATGAGCTTGTTCACTTTGCCCACATCGCCGGGATGCATTTGCTCCCTGTAGGTGAGACGCAGCGAGCTGGTCTTGACCAGCGGCTTGGATGGGCGCGTCATGGAGACGCTTCGCTGCGGCAGCTTGGCCAGGCCCAAGGGCATAGCAGCTGCTGCAGGGGCTAGTGGTGCAGTTGCTGCTGGTGCTGCTGTCATTATTGCTGTGGCTATTGGTGGCTTGCTAATGGGCAGCGGCGGCGGCACTGCATCATAAATGGGCGCCACAGTGCTGGGCGGTGGTCGACGCTGCGGCAAAGGCGGCGGCGGCGGTGACACCGATGGTGGGCGTTCTGCCAGTGCTTGCTCATCATCATCATCATCATCATCCTCATCCTCATAATCATCCTCTTCAGCTGCATCATCGTCCTCCTCTTCATCCTCCAGTGGCTGCTGCTCCATGAGACTCTCACAGCTGTTGCCTATCTGAGGCGTCTGGAGGCGAATCTTGGTCACACGCGAGCTGCTATCATCCGCATCCTCGCCGCTGTCACAGCTGCTGCCGGTGCTAATGCGCAACACGGGCGCATTGCGCAGTGCCTCATCGAAGTCCGCAAAGGCGGCAGCGGCGCCGACATCGCCCTCAAAGATGTCAATACTCTTGGGCTTATACAGTGCAGGTGCTGGCCAAACGCTGGAGGTCACCTGCTGCGCCTTGAAATCAGCTATGATCTGCTCATTGGACACCCATTGATGCGCCGTGCTGCGCTGCTTGCCTGCGGCTATTGGAGCTGCCGGCGATGACGGTGGTGGCGTCGCAGTCACCGCTATTATCAATGTTGACTCGAAGGCATCCGTCTGCTGTTGATGGATGAGCACGCGCGGATAATCGGAGGCAGCGGTTGCCAGTTGCTGCTCAGCAGATGCATCCTCCTCCAGAGACTCGCTGCTCCAGGCTGTTGTCGAGTGCGCCTGCAGTTGCGCCAGCGTTGTCAGTGTCTGGCGCTTAACCAATCCGGGTGATGCCGCAACCCGGTCCTTTTGCTGCTGCTCCTGTTCATGCTCCATCTTGGCGGCATCCGGCTGATTGTCTGCCTTAGCGGCGACCACTTCCTGATCGCTGTCATCGCTTGCGCTGTCGCTGTGATGATAGGTCGCCTCCAGCTCCTCATCGTCAATCTCGACGGGCTCGCGGCCAATGGTGTTGGGCTTGTTGCCCATTTGCTCGGCTGCCTTTTTATCGCCGGCGCGCTGAAAAAACTTGAGCTGCTGCATCTTCTCATTTAACATGGTCATCGTGCGCTCCAAGTGCGCGCCCATAGCCACGCCCAATGCGGCGCCAGCTGATACACCAGCTGTTCCAGCACTTGCTCCGCCTGGCAGCTGTTGCGCCGGCTGTTCCTGGGTCTCGCTGTTGCTCTTGAAGCTCTTGCGCCAGCGTTGCGGCAGCTGCTCGCTGGATGCAAAGCGGCGCAGACGCGCCCGCAGTGTGCCACCCGTGCTTGTACGTGTCTTGGTCTGCTCCTCATCCTCATCGGTTTCATCTGCGGCTGGCCTAGCTGGCTGATGATGCACACGCTTGATGGACTTGCGCAGACGTTTTAAATTCTGACGCACCGCCTGTCGCATGGGCTGTTGCTCCTTATGTCGTGGCTGCTCCGCCTGCTCCTGTTGCTCCTGCACGGGCATCGGCAGCGGTGGCTGTCGCACCTTGGCAAATCTGCTTGCAGCTATGCCAGACTTTTTGCGCGGCGGCGGCTGCTGCTGTGGCATTGCCTCCTCCATGCCGCTCTCATCGCCGCTGTGCTCTGGCACGCTGCGTTTATGCTGATCCTGCTGCTGCTGCTGTTGCTCTTCCTCCTCCTTCAGCGTATTCTGTCTGCTCATGGGTAGCGTGCTGATGTGTATGTCATAATTGTCGGCTATCTCCCGATCTCGACGCGCCTGCTCCAGCTGTTCTAGGCGTCGCTCCGCCTCATACTGCTCGACGTAGCGATCGACCTCGATACCATCCCGTCGTATGGTCGTCTGCTTGGCAAACAGATGCTTCAGCCGTAGCTCGCTAAGACTCTTGTAGCCGCGCTGCAGCCGCTGCGTCAGGCTCGACGTGGTCGTGGTCGTAGTTGGCGTCGTTGTCGTTGTGTCTGGTGGCATTCTAATGGGACTGATTGGGCGCGAGCCGCGTCCTGCTGTGCCATATGGCGCATAGTATTCATCATCCAAGCTGCCTGCGCTGCGGTAGGTGCCGGCATTCGGCTGCAGATGCTGTGATGTTGCCGCCGTCACCTGCCGATCCACCGCTGCCTGCTCGTGCATCAGCGAACTAATTGTGGATATGCGCTGGGGCGTGCGATTGATAAACTGCGCCTGAGGCATTGCAGCCGCCAGAGAATCCGTACCTGTTCCTGCTCCTGTACCTGTACCTGGCGCAGCCTTGCCGCTGCCATTCTCGCGGCTGCTGTGAAAGAAGCGACGTGCAGCGCGCAGTTTGGGCAACGATTTTGGCAACTTCAACTGTGGCAGCGTTGACAGTTTGGCTGTGCAACAAAAATAAAAAAAAAAAAACGGGAATGAAAACATGTCGCAGCCTTTTCTACTGTAGACTCTTCAATATTATTAATATTATTATAAAGTATAGAAAACAGTTCAAAAACTATCTACCTGTGGCCTTCTGTAAAATAACTTTGGATTCGAGCCTAAAATTTCGTTCTAAACTAAAACAATTTGTCTGCCAAGGACTTTACAATAGGTAAATTAGCAGAATATTGGAACTACAAATTTGTGGGCTTACCATGAACTTGAGGCTGAACATGAAAAGCCTTGGTCTATTATATAAATGACTGAACTGGTGAACTAGTTCTTTTAGTTCTTTTCAATAGACTATTTTGATTATGCCATATTTAAAATCCTTAAGTAAAGAACAACGTTTTTTTTTTTTTTGGGATTGCCACAAGCTTATATGTTTATATAAATTATAAAACTTGTGAACTAGTTCTTTTCAAAGCCTAACAAGCCATTTTGTTAACTGAAAGTTTAAAAATCTTATGTCCGGCCCAAATTGTATGTGCACAAATAAGATAGCGTGCGAACTAGTTCTTTTTGATCTAATTAACAAATTCGCCTTCAAACAATTTCCATTTATAAGACTCGGAACATATGTACTAGTTCCTTTTGCTGTGACAGTAAATAGTTGCAATATTTTGAAGCTAGTTACTCTGTTTTGAAGAGACAAATCTGAAATCTGACCGATCTACATGATGGGAACTAGTTCTTTTTAGCACAAGTGCGGTACTAATTTGAATGAAACTTCTATGACTCTTTAACACGTGCAACGCTTACCTTTCAGGCTGTCCACGTCCAGACGTTGGCAAAGATTTCGTATATCCATAACGCCGTGATGGCTGTGACCGTTCCGCTCCGTTGACTGTTGCTGCGGCTCCCGCTGATACTGTTGATACTGCAGATGGTTCATTGGCGGTGCTAGTGTTGTTTGCTACTGCAACAATCACAATCAACGTCCGTTGCAGTGCAGCATTTTTGCCAGTTTGATGTCCAGCACGTTGGGAGCGTGCACAGACAGCCCAGTACTGGAGCAGATCCGTCCGTCTAATGCTAATTCAATTAGCGTTCGTTTCTAACCCTTGTTTTGTGGCATTCCAATGCTAACTTGCCCTCGTCTCGTATTGGCCCCGTCTGTCTCAGTATCAGTCACTGTCACCAGTCACAGTTCGTGTTGCTGCTTTCTCGCTTGGCACATTTTCCATTGAATGGCATTTGGGAATTAGGTCTATGACGACGCACTGAACCCTACCCCCATGCCACAGGCCCCAACTATTTTTAGTGTCTTTGTGCGCACTTTGCAATTGATTCATTGACACTTTTGCGAATGAGTACGAAAGGGCATAATAGTTTTGTGCAAAACCATGCAACAGGCAGAAGCAGACTTTCGAGGATGACGTATCATAAACATATATTCTAGATTAATCTCGGAAACTATAGGATCTAGATATTTGATATTTGTAAAATCATAGTTTCATGTCTCTCATGCGCAAAAATTTATATTTATTGTTCGATATCCACCGATTTCCAAAATATCGATAAATATCACTCCTGAAACTAGGGGTTTTCCTTGGATACGTTACCTCATATAAAAAGTAGTTGGAATGCTTGTAAAGACATTTGTGCACTCGGTATCTCCTAGTCGTGCACTACCGCCCAGAACACTCCTCTTCTGTTTTTTTTTTCTTCTGTGTTGCTGGCCACTTCCGATGACGACGTAGCTGTCAATTGCTCGGTTTCTCGTTGCCCCCAGAAAAGTAATAATTGCAATAATCGATTTTCAAGTCGGGCCTCTGACGGCCGCCGTCGTCGTCGTTGTCGTTTATTGGTTTGTGTCTGCTGCCCGTTTGCTTTGGCCAAGTCCAGTGCGTGATTCCAAAATTTCGACTCTTGTCAATTCAGTATGTGTGTGTGTGTAAGGTCTAATCAAGCGATTACACGAGCCACCCAGATACCAGATACAGCCAGATAAGCGCACATTCAAGGGAATCAGATTTAACTTAAATGTAAGCCAAATGCGCTAAAGACCTAAACCATTTAATAAACGCGAATTGCTAAGCCGAGCTTTTGTTTCATTCAAATGAAATATAGATGTGCCTAAAGTTAGATTGAAACAGAGCTTTATGTCAGACACAGGCCACAGTTAGGTTCTTGTATTGTCGTCTGCCTCGATCCTTATGCTGGGTTTGTTCGGTTTCTGCCTTCATTTCCAATTATAACAATTTGTATTAGAGGAGTTTAAAGTTTATTATTACATATAAAACTGTATGTTGCAGCTGATCTAACATTTTTGAGTTAGGCTGAACTATGTTAATAATTATTGTTAACTAACATAAAACCCTCTTGACTCGATATAGATATTGAATTTCTTTCTTCTTTGATATTTCATAACATTTAAAAACTATTTGACTTATTTCTCCATAAACATATTGGTACTAAAAACAAGAAACACTTTGTGCAGTTTCATTGTCATGTAAAAACGAAAACTAATCAATTAAATGAAAAACTGAAAATTATAATTAAGAACTAGAACAGCATTCCGCTTAAGTAATTCAAACTGATTTGCTTACTTATTTCATAATATGATTTATGTGCATATATTGGGGGCACATATCATATAATGCCCGCGATACTATATACTAAACATTTTCAATACATACACGAATGCCAGCTGGCTGCTGTGAAGGCTTTAAATAAATGTTCTAAAAATCGAAAAAGTGATGAAATTATTTGATATTGCAAATGATATGAATTGTTGGCATATGTTTAATATTAAAGTCACTTTCGTTGTTTAAATCATGTAGCACGCATATAATAATGTTAATAATAATTATATATATGTTCTACTCTTCTTCTATTTGCAGACACACAACAGCAATAATAATAATAATCATCAAAACAGACAGTGCTAAACTTTTACTGCCGGCAGCGAAGCGCATATTACATGAATTTATTAGATACTATGCATATTATATAGTTATTATACAAACGGGTTTTCGCGTTTCGTGTCGTTTGCCATTTAAGTGTGAAAAGTAGCTCAATGTGTTCTTCTTGTTCTTCTTTTCCCTATTGCCAACTGCAGTGCATGCGAAAGGAAAAACGCTCACTTGGATGCAATTTTCATTAGTAAGAAAATTGTGAGAACCTAAGGAAGGAAAGAAAAAAAAGCAAAAACAAAACGAAAAGAAAAACATTCCAGACAGTACAATTGCAACACGACGAAATTGACAATACAATTGCGCAGATAGTTGTAGATCCCAGGGTCCAGAAGAGACTGTGCCATACAAAAGGGGCACAGAGACTGTGTGTGTGTGCGCGTGTGTGTGTGTGTATGTGCGGTGTGTGTGTTTGAATCGACAACAACACCCATAACAACAACAACAATTGCAGCGCAGTCGAACAACAACTAAAATGCGGCGGCAGTCAACGATGCTGGCCGCGATATTACTGGCTGCCATTTTAGGCAGCACAACGGCAATGAGTAAGTCGAAAGTCCAAATCCAAGTCCATATCTATGTCTATTCGGGGCAAAGCATAACTAGATAATCTCTATGGAATCTCTAATAAGAGCAATTGAAAATCTAGAAGACAATGCACCCATTTATCCGTCAGCTGACACCATTTCGATCTCCTTTGAGCTTATTAGAGCTAAAGCAATTAAACAATAACAACCACTGAACTTCATCCTGTTTTTATTTCTCTTTTAATGGCTGTAATATATTCTGTTTTTTTTTATTATTTTTTAATGCACTTTAAAAAGCTGCTAACTTTTGCGATTGTGTCATCTTTTAAAGTAATTAATTAATTTTAAAGAAGTTTTTCAAACTCTTCCAGTTCACTTTTAAGATTCTATCATCTAAAACAATCAAATCAAAAGGCATTGCAAATGATCTTTCAGTCCCTCTTGTATCGCATCTTTGAATAGCTAAACTGTATTCTATTTGTTATTAAATAACTAATTAAACATTCTCTCAAGCTGGCTCAGCTCTACCTTTAAGCTAATCATGTACCCATTATACTAAGCCTAGTGAAAGTTTTTGCATTTCATCTTTGCTTGGCACTATTATTCTTTTTGTCCTATATACTTCAAATTCTTGCTCACTCTCTTGCCAGCTTTTTGCATTTTCCTTTCTGTCATATTCGTAAGCTTTGTTTAACTTATAAATGGGCGCCCACTTCTTTAATTTCTTTATTGTGTAACTTTATCCATATACATGTGCCATATATGAAGTGCTGTCCCCCACTCGAAATCTCTTTTGTTTCTTCTGAGAGGACTATTTTCGGGGTGGGGTAGTGCATTTTGAGAACCTATTTATATAGTCTTTTGGGAGATACAAATTGGGTAAGCATTTTGTTAGAGCCTACCTGAGCCACTCTCGAAGGTGCCAGTTTCCAATAGATTGAACTGAACCACAAAAATAGCCACTGCGACGGCAGTTGATACAAATAAACATAGAAAAACAACTTATTATGTGGACTCAAGCGACTAGATGTAGAGCATGCCAGAGAGATTCACGTCCTAATTTATGTGCCAAATTAGTAGAGTCTGCCCCAGTCCCAGTCCCAATCCCAACCCCAACCCCAATCTTCGCGGCGCAAACTGACTCTCTTCTTCCGTCATTCTATTAAGACAATTCCCCGCCGCGGATCATCAAACAGCCACCCACAGATGAGCTGCTTTTCAAGGTGGCGCAACAGAACAAAGAGAGCGACAAGCCATTCATTATCGAGTGCGAGGCCGATGGACAACCGGAACCGGAGTAAGTACACATTATCATATTCTGGTCTAGATCTACATAGACTGAACACAATCCGATTCTATTTTCGTATAGTTTAAAGTATTTGGCAATTTACATATATCAATTTAAAAGCAGACGCATGCCAAGCAAGTTTTTTTTTTTGTCTCTTTCTGTTTCATCCTATTTTAAATTTGAATCAAAAATCATTTAGTTTTTGTTGTTCTCTTTTTCCAAATATATTTTTCTATAGTGTGTGTTTGTTTTTAATATTTCGGCTGTCTCGACGTCGCGTAGATTTTAAATTTCTTCGAAATTTATGTAAAAATTAGAATCTGTTTATAAAAAATGATGCGAATTGTATTCAGAATAAATGTTTGTCTGCTTTTATTTATTTAAACAAGAAAACAACAGCAACAGCAAAAACATATATAAATCATTTTGATCTCAAGAACGTACTCGACAAATGTAATTTCAGGCATTTGTCATACGTCCTTGAAACATATTTGTTCAAGTTTTAAATCTGAAAATCCTGATTAGTAGTAGGAGTCATAATTCTTTCTTTATACATGTATTGTTATATTATTTGTGTATAGTTAAATAAAAAATGCTTAAACATAACGCGATTTTTAGCTGTTTTCGAAATACATACGAATATCGATTTATCGGAAAGAGAGTTTCTTTCCGATCTTTATTCGCAAGATACTTGAGGTCTATCAGCTATCGGCTTTTCGATAAATCGATGTTTTCTACATTCCAACTCTTATCGATAGCTATTTATACATATAACCAGTAACAATTGTAGCACAATTAGGCTTACAGTTTTTGACACCAGGTGGCGTACTTTAAAAATGGTATAATAAGTAGTATTCTGCATTTCTAAACTCTCAATGAAACAAGGATATTTGCAACAGATAATATTATAGCTAACGATATAGTTTGACTTCCAAGCAGTTTATATTTTTGACATATATATAATTGGCTTTGTTTTTGGTCTAGGATTAAATCTGTCATACTTTTGACTTTGGGCTTACAACAGTTATACGACATTTTATTTCAGTTTATTCTGTTTTTTTTTTATACCCTGAACCCATTAAAAATGGGTATAAGGGTATATTGTATTTGTGCAAAAACCAAATGTATGTAACAGGCAGAAGGAAGCATCTCCGACCCCATAAAGTATATATATTCTAGATCAGCATCAATTGCGGAGTCGATCTAGCCATGTCCGTCTGTGTGCCGGTCCGTCCGTATGTATGAACGCAAGGATCTCAGAACCTATAAGAAATTTTAGATGTAGGTGCTCCTAGTGCCTGCGCAGATCGAGTTTGTTTCCGATAATCAATAACTTACTCCATTTCCAAGCAATCGATAGAAATCGATATCGATATTCTGTTTTTTGGGCAATTTTGGTAAATAATAAGAGGTAGAGTTACCAAACTTAACATTTAGCTTCTAAAATAGTATATATATGCATTTGATGTTGGAAGAAGAGGGTTCAGGGTATCCCCTAGTCGGGAGCTCCCGACTAGAACCTCTTACTTGTTTTTTCGTAGCAGTGTGCAAATAATGCGAAATTTTTGTTACCCAAAATAATGTGCCATACGCTACCAAATTGCTGTAGTTGCATATCGGAAACTGTTGCTCATCTCGGCTGATGATTAAGTCGGATGATGATGATGGGACATTATGTGAATTTGAATGACTCACGTCTGTCTGCACATGTTAAAAATTCAAGTTTAGCTTTATTTGATTTCTTTCTGTTTATGGCCGATTAGAACCTGTTTGCAATAGAAACACGTTTCGTCTTCTTTTTTTATATATATATATACATATATATACATTTTATTTATAGTGTTTATTTTGTTGTTGCTTTTAATATGCGCTGCTTGTGTACTTGTTGTCCATTCCATTGCATTCAGTCATTTCGAAATGCGGAATTTCGTTTTTGACGCGCTTGGACGATGACCTCATTTGTGATCCGAAAAACACGTTGGCCCGAAAAGAAGAAGTGCGTGACGTGCTGTATAAAAATATGAAAAGTAGCTGACTCAAAATAGTTTTTCCTAAACAGCAGCAGCAGAAGCAGCAGCGGCAACAGATGTCAGATAAAAGAGAACGAAAGCTGTCTCTCTTTCTTTATTTCTCTTTCTGCTGCTCTCCCCCTCGATCTGCTGGGCCCAGTTCGTAACCTCTGCGAGAGAGTTGGCAATGTGTAAAAAAACACAATTTCCACACGCATTTTTTTTTTGTTTTCTTTTATTTATTTTTACAACGGCTCGTCAAATGGGTTAATAGTGGAAAATGTGTGTGTGTGCTCGCTTTTTGGGCCATGACGACGATGTTCTTAATGATCATGTGGATGAACATTATGATGTTGGCAAGTGTACTGTACGGGCAACAGGTACGAATGATAACCCGTTTGACCGGATTGTCAGGCACGCTTAGAATATACGATTACGTGTATAAGCGTTAAACACGACTATATACAAAGCCATGGGCATTACGTAATGCCCCCAGGTTGTGCTGGTCTACACTTGGCTCATTTGCCCGACTTGCTCAAATTGTTTCCCATGAAGATCAACACGAGTGCCTGGCGATTGCAGCGCCATCTGGCGGCGTTTATTATGCTGTCACACTTCCTCTAAACATGTCGCCTGTCAGCACATTTATGGAAATGACTTTTTGCATTTCTTCTCCTTAAAATGTGATTGTTTGTTTTGAGTGCCAATTGTCTGCACTTTGATTTCCGTCCATTCAGTGGGAAATAAATAGACTGATTTCGCATTAAAGCAAATCATGAATGAATTAGGCGAGGCGAATTGTGGCAAGCCAATAAGTGAAAGTAAAGCTAATTGATGAAGATTAAACCATTGCAATTAAATGATAAAATTGGATAAAGTAATTACTAAAATGCTTTTATTGTTGCATTGTTATGTTTAAGAAATATCTCTTACATCAAAGTAGTCTTAATAAATCTCTACCAAAGATTGCCCAATCGATCTCAAAAACTTTAGGAGCAAGATCTCTGTGACTTTGCTAATTGTCTCAACTATGTTATCCCCAAATCTGAAGAGCCTTAAGTTGTCATATTTAAAAACATATTCGTTCAAGTGCAATAGCAAATTGTCATGAGGGTGCACAATAGTATATATGCCCATATCATAGAGATCAACATCAACATCATCTTTAATTGGAAACTATAGACAGTAAATGACAAGGCAGTGGCATTTGTCTTACATCGAATTAGGGAACTTTGAATCGCAAAAACTTAACGTTGTAGACTTCAAAGTGCCCTCAATAGATCGAATAGTAGGTTAATGGATCAATTAGATATTAAAGGTCACTTGAGGTTTTTCATAAATATATCATGTATCATATATCACAATTTTTAACAAATAAATCATCATGAAAGGGAGCTAGAACGTTTGTAATTGGAACGGGGCGTATGCGCAATGAAGTCGCGCATAATTTGTGGTTCACAATGGACTTGCTGGTCTCACATATCTCTATATATGAACTATACGCCTCTGTGATTCAGCGTGACACACTTTTTTATTGTTGTCATTGGCTGCTGCTGATGCTGCTGCTGCTGCTGCTGTTGTTGTTGTTGTTTTTGTTGTTTTCTGATGTGCAACACACACACACACACACACACACACACACACACACACAACAAATTGTTGTTGCTACTGCTACTGCATAGCAGCGCAATGCGTGCACAGCTATTTTAAGAACGCCCAAGTGTTGATTTTCTTCGATCTTTTTCATACCCTCGTAAAGAGAACTTTGTCATAAAGTGTGGAAGCAGACACGCCAATGTGTATATATTCTTGGTCAATAGCACAGTCGATCGGCATAAAGCTTGGCATACATAGGTCAGACTTTTTTGGATTCAGCATATATGTCTAAGTCTCACGAATCGGACCGCTATATCATATCGGTCCAGATAGCTCCACCAATCTTAGCAATTGCGAGCTTCGCAGATGAGCAAAATCTGATCGAAATAATTGCCAAGCCACATGTCTGCCAGGGTATTAAATCTTCGACGTGCCAAATATAACTATTCTTTCTTACTTTACTTTTTTTTTTTATTTAGCACTTCAGTGCTAATAAATATTTAATAATAATGAGACTGTTGTTCGATATGTTTCACATTGATGAGAGCCGCGGAGGTGGGCGTGGCTCGTATAGTTTCAATTGAATATTACACAGTTTATACAGGTCATGTATGCCCATGACAATTCACATTCAATTGAGAAGTATCGCGCCTCTGACTAATAAACGTGGCCTTTGAGGAATTTACAACTTAATTTGATATGCTTCATGTAGGCCAGAACAAATGGAAACTGAGTAAAGCTCAACGGAAAAGCAATGCAATGGTTATTGGTATTCAAATATTATTTCGGTTTTATAATTGAACAAAAATAAACGAAAAATTCCAAAAATGTAGGCGTATAATCCGAAAAGCCTCAAAGTTAGAAAGATTGCTGTAAAAATACGTACAATATCCAAAAGTTGAAGTTTTTTTTGTTGTTAAGGAATGTTGATGCTCAGAAGTAAACATAGAAATATATGAGAAGAGCAACTTTATCTAAAAACATATACTAAAATAAAATGTTCGCCTAAAATATAATAATTGCTTCGACTTTAAAAGTCCTCAAATCGAATTTTTCCCCTACTCTTTATTTATTGTATTGTATGTATTTTGTATTGTGCTATCATAAGTTGTAAGATATTATAATTATTAAATTCAATTAGTTGATATTACTTTTTCTTTTTTAATAAAAATCTGTTTCGATAAATTCACTTGACCGAAAAAATTAACTGAATTTTGAATGCATTCATAATGAACTTCAATTAATTGAATTGAGAACAAAATGCATACATTGAATGTTAAATAAAATTGCATAATATTTGAATGCCTGAAAGGCCTCTATTCACGACTCTATAGTTTCTAAAATGTGTGCCTTGTGCATTCAAATAAGTCCATAGAATATATTGTGCTAACGAAAATTTATAGA